AAAGACCAGTTGCCACAAGAAAGAGTCAAACCAGCCTCCACCCTCCATCTTTCTTTATACCAGCTGTTCCCCCCACAACATTGCACTCTTCTGCTAGGTTTGATAGTTCATCAGAGAGCTCATAAACAACACTTCAGACATGAGGGTTTGGTAAGGCTGTTAACAGGTTGCTGTTAAGCCAGGAGTATCAAACACTAAGGACTCAGTCTTTTGGTCACAGCAGCACCTCTCAGCCAGCAGGCAAGTCTCTGTGGTCCTCAGCCTCTCAGCCACATGGCTCAAAGATCTCTGCTTTGATTGGTGGGCTGCTTGAGCCTGCCTGCTGCTTTGCCTCAGTCCCTTGGTCTCTGGTCTTGGGGCTCCGGCTCTTCTGCTGTTGCCTGTGGCCTTAGTGTGATGGCCTCTGTGTGCACAGGCTCCACTGGGGGTCCCGGGAGTTCCCTCTCAGCGTCTGAGAAGGCTCTCTTAGACACAGAAGAATGGCCGCCCAGACTGACCAACCCCTTCTGCTGCTGTTTCACACTCCCTCTGTGCATAGTCGCCCCCAGGCATTCAGTGGGACATCCAGAGCCATGTGTGTTGTTCTTGCGGTTAGGTGTCATCCAGTGGGTTTGGATTCATAGCGATCCTAGGTACGACAGAAAGAAAGGCTGTCTGGTCCACTGCCATCCTCAGCATTGTTATGTTTGAGCCCACTGCTGCAGCCACAAGGTCAATCCATCTTCTCACGGACCATCCACTTTTTTGCTGCCCCTCTACTTTACCAAGCACAATGTCCTTTTCTGGGGACTGGTCTCTTCTGATAGCAGGTCCAAAGTATGTAAGACGGAATCTCATCAACCTTGCTTCTCAGGAGCCTGCTGGCTGTAGTTCTTCCAAGACAGATTTGGTTGTGCTTTTCGCAGTCCATACACTTTGAATAATTTTCACCATAATTCAAATGAATCAATTCTTTTTTGGTCTTCCTTATATATATAATATCCGACTTTCCATGTCTTGAGCCCCCCAGAGACGTGAAGAGACCTACCGAGCATTTTCCCTTCAACACAATATGCACCAGGATTGCCTCTGCACTTTTCTTCTTTATGCCGGTTTCGTGCCCCACTTTGATACCATCCTTGGGGCTTCTCTCAACATTTCACTCTGGAAATCTCAAGTCTTTTGAGTGTGCATAGAATCTGTGCATGTGGGATCACATCCTGGCAATGCCCTATGCGACATAAAAAGGAAATTATCTGGGTAGGCCTCACTAATCATAAGAATATTTTAAATGCATAGTTTTCATCAGTTTATGGCAGAAAGAGACTTAAGCATGAGCAGGCCTCCATGCAGACGGTGTCTAATTACATCAAGCAAGCAAGGAAGACCTCAGACCTACAACTACTAGGCACTAGATCCTGCCAGCAATCTGAACGAGCTTGAAGCAGATTCTTCCCAGAGTCTCTAGATAAGGGCCCAGCCTGGCCAGCACTTTGATTTTAGCCTTGTTATATATCCTGAGACGCGCTGGTGGTGAGGTGAGTTACATGTTGGGCTGCTAACCACAAGTTATCAGTTTGAATCCACTGGCCACTTCATGGAAGAAAGATGAGGTTTCTGCTCCCATAAAGATTTCAGCCTTGGAAACACAAAGGGGTAAGTTTCATTCTGTCCTTCAGGGCCTCTCTGGGTTGGAATTGACTTGATGACATCGAGTTATGTATCTGAGTTAGTTAATTGTGCCAGCCTGGCCAATAATCACATGTGGGGCTAATTGAAAGGCAGAGGGATAAATGGGTGGTAAGCCTCGCCTTTCTAGTTCTCGGGTCTCTTGTTTTGTGATGGTTGCACCGGGTACAGCTGCCTTAGCAGTTCCCTGCTTCAGCTTGAAAGATTGACTTCCTACAAGACATCCCCAAGGAGAAGCTACATGGACCTATCCCGATGCAGCCCTGGGTGCTGGAGCAGCCGTATGGAGACCCCTGCTAGTGCTGAGATGCTTGTTCGTTCACTGACTCAGCTTTCCTCCTGCAGTCGGCATCATTGCCTCTGTTTTGTGAGGTGGAGGACTTTGTGGACTGGTGTTGGGTTAATGGGTTAATGTTGGACTTGTGGGCTTGGGCAGCATTGGGTTGGGATGTTTTCGTGATGCACATTTTCTTTACATAAAACTCTGTCTTATACATGAGTTGCTGTGGATTTGTTTCTCCAAAGTACCTAGACTAATACAGCATCCTAAGCACAGAAACCACTCCAACCTGCCAAGACTTCTGACCTACAAAGTTGTGTGGTAACAAATGGGTATTATTTTAAGCTACTAAGTTTATGGTCATTTGATGCACAGCAATAGAAAACTCAGGCAAGGAGATTAGGTATGGGCATGATGTCCAGGAGGTGGGAATCATGGGTGCTGCCTTAGCGTCTTTCTGCCACAGAAGCCTAGAGACGATGAACTGTCTTACCTGGATCAGTAGAGCCACCTAGCCAATTCCTATAATCACAGTCAATAGGAAGCAATGGTTGTCTAGGCTGCTGAGTTTTATAGTGGACTGCTATGTGTTAAAGCTAGTTGTTAGCACTTCTGAGGTGAGAGAGAAACCAAGCAAGCCCTGCTAAGTGAAATGTCTAAATCCAAAGAGAGTGAAGACTATAGAAAGAACAGAGGATCGGAGTACGAGTGCATCTTATATAATAACAAGTTACCACTTACTGTGCACTTACTCATGTATAGGAGCCCTCTGTTCAGTCTCTAAACTAACCCTCTGAGGTGGTTTCTAAGATCCGGTCATTCCATGCTCTATTTCCTGGAGACAGGTAGCCTTGATTGCAGTAACCCTCTTATCCTCAACTTTTTTCATCTATAAAGTGATGTTGATCATACTACTCAAGTCACAAGATTACATTACCTTTTAAACTGGGAACTCCAATGTGAATAATAGAAATCATTACTAGGAGCTAATGAAACTCATTTATAGTGAACTTTACTATATCAACATTTGCCTTGTGAGAGTGGGAAGTCTAGCAGTGTCAGCCTTCCTGTTGATCAAGGTAGATCAACTGGACACACACACACACACACACACACAAATCCAACTTTATGCTATATTAAACTCTGGCTTTGGAATTGGGGGAGGGGAGCTAATGTTTTTGAGGGCCTCTAAGGCTGGTGGAGGAGCCCTGGTAGGATGGTAGGCTACAAATTGAGCTACTAATCACCAGGTCAGCAGCTCAAATCCACCAGCTGCTCTGTGGGAGAAAGATGAGGCTGTTTAGCTCTGTAAAGATTTAAAATCTTGGAAACCCCAAAGGGGCAATTCTACCCTAGTCTTCAGTTGAATCAGAATCAACTTGATGGCAGTGAGTTTCATTTGGTATGATTTAAGACCAGTGGTTCAAACGCACCATCTGCCCCGTGGAAGAGAGGTGAGGCTATTTGTTCCTGTAGAGATTTATGGTCTCTATCTAAGGTTGAAAGGTGCCCTGGTGGTGTAGTGGTTATGAGTTGGGTTGCTCACACAAGGTCAGTAGTTCAAACCTACCACCTGCTCTGTGGAAGAAAGATGAGGCTTTCTAATCTTGGAACCCCATAGGACAGTCTTACCGTGTCATAGCGAGCCACCACGAGTTAAGACTTGTGGGGTTGCTCTGAGTTGGGATTGCCTCTATGGCAGTGGATTTGGGTTAGTTTGGCTATGTTTCACCCACCTACCATGCTGGGTGAATTGATTACATCATCTAATTCAGATTTATTTGGACTGGGGCTGGAGCGTGGGTGCTTTTAAAAGTGTTCTCGTTGATTCTCCTGTGTACTCATGATTGAGAACTCTTGATACCTTATTGTTTCTAAATCTAAGGGAAATCTTCTCCGAAAGGTTTTATGTTTATTTTACAATAAAGAAATGGTGGCCTGTAGGTATTAACTAGTTTCCCCAAGGCTATAAACTTAGTGCCATAAGTGGAGGGAGCAAGGGAAGGTCATATTCCCCCCCCCCCCATTTCACCAAAATGGCACATTTTTTGAGCAGAGGAGATAATTGCTCTCACCAAATCAAGGGAGATGGGAAATTGAGGGGGAAGACTAATGATGTGCACTTCATGATCGATTTCTTTTCATAACCCGGTATCTTCAGGAAACTTTTTTTGGCCTACTTGAGTCTCTCCTGAGCACTGAATTTTGACTACAGGGATAGTTAGCCTATTAGGATGGTTATAAGAGTTAGCCCTACCATATATTTGTATCTACAAGTTATCAAGACCTCCTGGCACAGTCCCTAGTGGTCAAAGCTGGTGGCACGGCAGCCAAATCCTGGTAAGAGTCCTGGCTTTGGGTCAAATCCACCTGAATTGAGCTTCTTCTTGAATTTAACTGTGTGACCTGATAAAGCATCTTATTCTTTGATCTCAGTTCTGTAAACAGAGAATAGGGGATTTGAAACATTTCAATAAATCACTAGTCTATGTACTCTCGGAAGACAGATGAGTTCTACTCCTGTAAACATTTACAGTCTCGAAAACACCATGAGTTGGCATGGATTCAATAAGCAGTGTTTATTTTTCTTTATTTTTTAAAATATGTACCCTGGAAAATGGACAGATGAAAAGTCCTATCAGAATTCAGTGTTTCTTTTTCTTTTTAATATGTACCCTGGAAAATGGATAGATGGGAAAGTCCTATCAGAATTCTGGAATGGACCTTTTCCTAACACAAATGGAGGCATGAAATCTAGTTGAGGCTGGCACTTCTGCCACACAGCCCGACTGCAGGAAATCATTCCCCTCTACTTCCCGGGACCCGGCCTCAAGCACCAGCCCTGGACCTGGGTCTGTACTCCAAGCTCTGCCCGTCCAGTTAGGGGGAGGAGTTGCGGATTTCATATGACACGGGATTGGTTCACGGTCGATCAATGCGGCTCCGCCCATTTCCCCGGAGGCCCAGAGATGGGCGCTCCCGGTTCTCGTCCCGCAGCCCCGACCTAGTAGACAGGGCGCAGGTCGTGGGGACGGAGGGCGAGGCCTGCCTCCTGCCCCTTTAAGGGGAGGGCCGAGTCCCGCGAGAGCTTGGCCGCTTCCCCCACCCGTCGGGGTCCGCCTCCCAGAGCAGCTGCGGCCACAGCCCGGTCACCCCGAGGTAGCAGAGTCTGTTCCGGCCCCAGGCAGCCAGCGCGGCGAGCGGCCACCATGGTGAAGATCGTGACCGTCAAGACGCAGGCGTATCCCGACCAGAAGCCCGGCACTAGCGGGCTGCGCAAGCGGGTGCAGGTGTTCCGGAGCAGCCCCCACTACGCGGAGAATTTCATCCAGAGCATCGTGTCCACCGTGGAGCCGGCGCGGCGGCCGGAGGCCACCCTGGTGGTGGGCGGGGACGGCCGGTTCTACATGCAGGAAGCCATTCAGCTGATCGTCCGCATCGCCGCCGCCAACGGGGTAAGGGACACGCCGGCGCCTCGGCGACGTGCGCCCG